CTGGACCTCAACCGCAAGGATCCGATCGCAGTGTGCACCGCTGGACCTCAACCGCAAGGATCCGATCGCAGTGTGCACCGCTGGACCTCAACCATATATTTTACTTCTTCTAATGCCAGATAGAATGCCAGGTAGATTGCGAGATAGAATGCTGCAAGAAGATATGCCAGATAGTATGCCAAATAGTGTGTCAGATAGATTGCTAGATACATTGCCAGATAGAATGCCAGAAAATATGCCAGATAGAATGCCAGATAAAATGCCAGATAGAATGCCAGAAGATATGCCAGATAGAATGACAGATAGTATGCCAGACAGTATGCCAGATAGTATGTCAGATAGATTGCCAGATAGAATGGCAGATTGAATGTCATGGTGGGGATCACTCGAAGTAAAGTAATTTTTGTACAGGTCCAAAAGAATGAATCATAGGCCCAGAGTTCCTGGCCCCTGGTAGGGGCTATTTCCGCAGTCACTGGTGGGCCGTTGCGAAGTTCTTTGAGTTGAGCCACTTTGGGTTCGGCGACGAGGTCCGCCCGTGCGGTTCGGTGGTGACTGGGTGGAATTCACCGCAACCTGACGGTGGTCTTCAGCACTAACTAGGACTTACTTTTGTTGGTAAAAAACAAGATGAGTGAAGCACATGCCTAGTATAAAGCCTCAAGAGGCATCTCACAGCAGAAGGGTCTCTTCCTATTCTGGACCCCAACAGGCTTTGAGAAAACTCACTCTTGAAGACCTGTCGACGTCCTGGCGTGAACCGAGAAGCTTCCGTCCTCATCGATGTCGGGGACCTCCGGTGCGTCCTTGAGGATCAGCAACTGTGGCCGAGATGCCTTGAGGAGTTCACACCTGGGTGCGCCGTGACGCCGTGAGGTGAAAACCCTCCGTACGTGTCGTCGCATGCTTCGCAAAAATGTGTGTCGCAACTCGAGGGTGCTTCTGGTGAATCATTGACCCGGAACTCCCTGCAGCAATAGCGATCGGATTCAATTGCAAAGCTTTTGACATCCAATGGCATGGATCCAATGGTCGAATTACTTTCCCTAGTTCTCCAACCACATCCTCAAAAGGTATTTAGCCACCCCAACCACCTTCTGAGGATGTGAGGATTGTGGTTGGAGCCCTAGGGTTTATACTTGGAAGTCATGAGGCAAGCACCATCAACTGAACTCGCAGCAGCATGGCGACAAATTACCTGTTCCCCGACACAGATATTCTCAAAACAATGTCTTCTCAAGCCTCCTCCCTATATAGAATGCTGATTGCTCAGTCATGCTAGTCCAAGCAAGTCTTCTCAAGATCTCTGTGTGCGCGCATCAGCTTGACTGCACATATACTGTATATCGCTCTTGCAGCAATGTCATCATCCGATGAACAAACAAGAAGTAAGGGCCGGCATGAACCGCACACAAACAGCTTGCAATGTTGATCAGAGAGGTTCACTTGGACGTGGGATAAAGAAAACAACAAATATACCAATTTATATATAGTATTATACCAATAACAACAAATATACCAATAACAAGTTAGCAAGGGAACTGACATGAAGGAAACACACATCGCCTTTCCATACCTACCCCTGGAAGCTGCGTTTTAGACCCCTGATGACCGCTCCAAAGCCCAGGCGCCCTGTGTGGAAGTCAGCATCACTGAAGGGGTTGACCAAAGTGGTGAGCCAGCCGTCTTCCTGGGCTGCTCTGTATGGCCGTGTGGCTCACGGCAATGGACCAGGCGCATGATCGAGGATTCTTCTATATCGAGGATGGCAGATGTTGTTGTATCTTGATGATCTTGAACCCTAAAGCGACCACCAATACAATGTTCAAAGGGCCACTTAAGTAAGGCAAGCTTAAAATGCTGAGGACATGTCACAACATGGCAGCTGATTCCAGCTTTGTGTCACATGGCCAGATCCCCTCACACTGTCACATCAACAAGTCTGTCTGGGAGTGTTCGTCTTTGTGAACTCTTGCGTAGTATGTTGTGTTTAAAGCAGACCTGAGTGCTGAAAGCTAAGTGCACCTCTAAGCCTTTAAGCATCAAGTTCCAATCCACCCCACAGATTTGGGGCCCACCCTCGGATGTTGCGCCCTCATCACAAGCAGTCTCAGGGAGGAGGAGACCTGCCAATCTCAGCACAGGCGTCAGTCAGCTCCACATAGAACTCCACTAATTCCTCAATGGCCAGCGGCAAATCAGTGTGTTACCAAGCTTATTTT